CCGAAGCGTCGAAAACAGATGTCCTCTCTGAAGTATACGCAAACTCCAGCCCGGGGCACAAAGGAGTGTTCCAATTTGTACCCCGGGTAGGAGAGATATGAAGTATCGGCCGGAGAGGACACCTGAGTCTCGGTTAAAAAGAGCAAGGCCGGCTTCGCCGTCTCTAGATGGTAATGGACAACGTTAAGGTTGGAATGAAGTCCCCTGATGTTTCAAAAATTCACGGATAGCGTGACAGGGGTCGCCTTGGTTGTATCGCTCCGCTTGCCCCGAGCAGCATTAGAATTTTGCCCGCCCCCCCCCCCCCCCCAGAATACGCGGGGCAGCCTGAGCACCCACGCACAGGAGTTAAGTAGTTTGGTCGTGGATGCTCAGCGAGGGATATTCCAGGGGTGCTGGTACCGTCCTGGGGTAGTCTTTTATTTAATTCCACTACCATGTTGAAGGGGGGGGGGGGATTGGGCCTCCGGCCACCTGCACTCACCAAGCGTAACGCAGAGGTAAACCTCTACTTCACGCTGGTATTCTGTGAGGTCGTGGTACCACCCCGGTTCGAGCTGGCCCATCCGTGTGACAGCAAAAGCTACCGCTTAGCTTTGCCACTGTTGAAGCCGTTCACTTTTGCAACATAAATTTGTTTTAGTATATACTAGCTGTTCTCCGCGACTTCGTTCGCGTTTTAGGGTTTTTATGTTTCTGCACGGAACCCTGATTCTTTTTTAAAATTAAAGTAGCCTAAGTTACTCCTTATGAAATCAGCTATCTGCCAGTGAAAGTCCCGTCAAAATCGGTCCAGCCGTTTCGGAGATTACCCGGAACAAACAGACAGACAGACAGACAAATAGACAGACAAAAATTTTAAAAATTGTATTTTAGTTATAGGTATCGTATTTACTTTCATATGCATTTAGTAAAAAACTGTAATTTTGACATTACAAACAGACACTTCAATTTTATTTATTTGTATAGATAAGAAAATATAATGTATGTACACACTAACAAAAGTATTTTTTAATAGTTACCTATACAAATAAATAAAATTGAAGTGTCTGTTTGGAATATTGAAATAACAGCTTTTTACTATATGCATATGAAAGTATATACGGTACTTATAACAAAAACACAATTTTTAAAATTTTTGCCTGTCTTTCTGTCTGTCTTTTTGTTCCAGCTATAGTTGAAACGACTGGATCGATTTAGACCGGACATTCACTGGCAGATAGCTGATGTTATAAGAAGTAACTTAGGCTACTTTTATTTTAGAAAAATAATTAGGGTTCCGCGCATAAAATTAAAACCCATGAAATCCAATCTTAATAAAATTAAGTCGCGGGGAACGGCTAATATATTCTATAATTACTAATATGTAATTGACTGCGTCGTTGGTCGGGTTCGTATTCAGGATCGGCTCAAAATAAGTAATGGCGTTGGCAAGCAATTCTCAGTACCAACCCGGAGTCATGAAGTTGGCCGTGTTACTCTCTCTGGTGGTGTCGGACTGTCGTGTTGTCTCACCGGACTATGAAAGTGAGGGTTTAGAGATTGCACTTGTATTTGAGCACACACTCGTGCACTATAATCCAGTCCTGCGCAGTCTACTAGTCTCTTTTTTACAGTATTCATTGTCAGGGTGACAAACGAACACACACTCCACCAGATGATGAGAAGCGGTTGATGTGGCCCATAGACATTTATCAGCGATGAAGAATTAAAAATGCAGTATCTCGTTTCCAGTAAAAAGTCAAAGTCGAGCGACTCATTTGAGCTACAGCCATAACATAATCGTAGGAGCAGCATGGCTATACCACGAATACTCCGTAGAGACTGGCCGTCGTGACGGAAATTCTGTCTGGAGGACATTATTATTAATTACTAGGAACAAACACAAGTTAGTCCAGTTAACCGACTCCAAAGAGTCAGTCATTTCTTCGTTTTACAACAAAGTTCCAGAAAATATGCAGAGCCTATCAATCAAAAAACTTAAAAGCATAATAATGCACATACATATTTTTTTACTGCAGACATATGTTTGACCTATACTTAGGTATACACCAATGTATCTACATGTAGTTTTAATTCTATCACATTCAAATTAAAATTAAACAATATACCTAAATATAATTTTAATAAAAAGAAACTAAACCTAGCCTACTTACATTATATATCTTTATATATAAAAATTACGTGTCACGTTTTTTGTCCGCGATGGACTCCTAAGCTACTAAACTGATTTCAATGAAATTTTGCAGACTGTGTGCATTTTAGTCCAACTTGAGAGATAGGATAGTTTTTATTCCGCTAAATGACCCTCAAAATTTTTTATTGCGAATTTAAGGATTTTTATAGGAAGGTTCGTTGGAAAGGCCAGAACAAGGCCTGGCTAGCTAGTATATATATATAAGCATCGTAGAGTTTTACATAAGTTTATTACGTAATATATACGACGATCATAAACATTACTAATACAAAAAAACAGAAGGTTTATATTTCGACTGTACAGTTTTTTAAATGTATTATATGTATGTATTTATATTATAATAGTTGGCCAGGCAGACGTTATTCTGCCCTTTCCGACAACCCTTCCCATAAAAAAATCCTTATGTTTGCAATTTAAAAATATTAAACGTCACTTATCGGGATAAAAACTATCCTATCTCTCAAGTTGGACCAAACTGCACACAGTGTGCAAAATTTCATTGAAATCAGTTCAGTAGTTTAGGAGTCCATCGCGGACGAACAACGTGACACGTAATTTTTATATATATAGATTACACGACATAAACAATATCTTGATCAATTGTGAACCGATTTTTATTATGTATTCGTTTTTATTAAATAGTTTATTTCAGGGGTTGTTCTATACAAATTAGGAGAAAAAAATAAATTCCCCATTCCTCTAAGGGTGGAGAAATAGGGGATAAAGTTTCTTAATGTAACTGTTTAGACAACATTGAGATTGTGATATTCGTTAGTCCCTTCAGATGAGTTACAAAGGCCGACTTCAAAAACCTCAAATGAATAAAATAAATTTTAAATTCTGAATTCTGAAGTAAGGCCTTTTGTTCTATACACTATCACTTCACCATAGAGCAAAAAGGGCAACCGGCGCGGCGCGGTGTTCCGTTCCGCCGATGGCCCGTGTTGCTCTATACTTAGCACTGATTTCAAATGTGAAGTTTTATTCATTTTAACCGACTTCAATAAGGAGGAGGTACTCAGTTCGACTGTATTTTTTATGTGTGTTACCTTATAACTTTTATCTAGGTGAACCGATTTCGATGATTCTTTTTTTATTCTTCTTCTGGTGCTTCTCATGTGGTCCCATATAAATTTGATCAAGGTCTGACCAGTAGTTTTTGAGTTATCCTTAATAATTTACATTGAAGTCGGTTGTACAAAATTTTTAATTTTATCACTCGAAATTGGTTGAAGTCGGCTTTAACTTTTTATTAAAAGGTATTTTTTTTTACTTTTTTTATATTAACTTATTTTAAATTCCTGACGCTTATTGACGTAATGGAACTATTTTTCCTCTTTCGGTGTTATTTACGATGAAATAATTGATCGAGCTTAGTAATAAAATCTGTAAGCGATTGAAAACACAACGTTTCCCCCATTTTTTCCCTTTTTACTTACGACAGATGTTTTAAACCCCCGCTTTCACCAACAGGATACTCTCCTGCATCGATCGATTTACTTAAATAAATGGTACAAGGAAGCACATCCAGACTGTGAACAAACATTTGTAGGCCATACAAACACTGTTCCGTTCGTGATTAGAACCTGCGGCTCTTTAGACAAGGCTAGTGTTTAGGAAGATTCTAATTCATCGAATCTGTGAAAGATTTTGTGCAAGGATCTTCGTTGTACGTCATAGGGTTCAATTAATGCAAATCGTTTGCGTTGTGTTTCAGTGATTGGGCATTTAGCAGTTGGAAGTGGAATAACTTTTTTACCGTATTTTTTTCATTTATTAGACACACTTCTGCCTCCGTGGCTTTGTTATTCGCAGAACTGTATTTCGATCAAAGAAAATTCAAAAGTGGTTGTTTATTTGGTTGTTTTAGCATAGAGCACGTTTTTATTAGTAAATAAGCTGGAAAGATCATCGGGCTTGGGCCGTACTTCCTTAAAAATTAGAAAGATCGAAATGTCGTTGACAAAGGTGCCAGAGCCATGCCCAATGAATTTATTACGAAAATGTGCGAAATTGTTCTGGAAGGCTTATCTATGTATGTATGGCACGTGACATCGTCTTATTTTTAATAGGACAGCGCCACGTGCCAGTCTGCACGCGAAGCCATCAAGTTATTCAAGGAAAAGTTCGATGATATGATTATATAGAAATAAGCCAGTGGCCTGGCCTCGAAGAGAGTACTATTTAAGCCGCTGTATTTTTTTCTGCGTGGGTATTGCACACGTTGATCCATGCAAACAAACCAACATCGATTTAAGCCTTAGAAACCAACATTGGCACACTATTCGTCAGATACGACCTTGAATGCTCCAAAAAGTAGTCAAAAGTTGAAGCTCAAGGATGCAGTTTCTGAGACGCTGCCGTGGTGGCTATATGAAATCATCGTCTTTCGATTAAGTGATCTGTGTGTTGTTTTTCGAACCCGATAGCTCTTAACAACGCGATAAAATATAAACATAACATGCTATTTAAAGCTAATTAAATTCAATCGTCTTTACAGCGAGTATTTCTCACGTAGCTTTGAGGCTACGATCATAGAGAACATAATCACTACGTTTTAGCTACGACGTGAAAGTAAAATGTTGCCAAAACGATAATTAAACTTTATTTACTCTGTGGCTACCCCAGTCTATGGTCCGTGTTGTGTGGGGTGTGATAGCGGTAGCGCATGTGCCAGTTTCTAAACGGGCGTACGACAGCTAGCGAACGCGGCAGAGTAAGGCTACGCTTGCGTGAGTCCTGATCGACCCGATTTATCGCTAGTGAAGCCAGTCAGCCGCCGAGTGCGGCGACCCGCCTCATCATGCAACCCCCGCCTAGAAAGGTAAGTGTGAAATGGTTTCAAACTAGACCAATAACAACTAAATCAGCGAATAAGAAAAAAATATCCACGAGTTAGTATCCAATGCTTGCCATCGAGTGCGCTAACATCGCGAATTTAGCAGTGAACGGTGTATTAACAACAGTTATGTTTTACGTACATTAAAATATTATATAACTCTAAATAATATCTAAGCACTATAAATACTGGCTCTTATCAATTATCTACATCTTAATTGAAAGCTCAAAATTGTCTATGACCCATTATTGAGGCATTTTAAGCCTGATAACTGTAATTGGAAATTCTAGTTACGACCCTTACATCGTTCTAAATCTAGTTACGGATTTAATGAGTTTGACGATAAATGCACGCACTAAGACTAGTTAAATCAATAACACTAATCACTAAAATCGTCTTAATGATACAAATTTTATATGAACTTTAATAGCAATTCACATTTTTTCTCAAATCGTAAAAAGAAGTAGGTACTACAAATTCCGCTATGTGCGCTGTAATTTTTTGTGCGTTTCTGTTATATTCCAGTTCGTTGCAATTTTCAGTTGTGCGTTGCTTCTGTGGTCTATAATACTTGTTATTTCTATGTTCATTTATGTAAGGTTCAGTGTTTAAATAAAACCAATATCATGTTGAAACAATCAAATGGAACATAAAAGTATCAAAACTTAAATCTTCAACGTTTTTTATGTGAATTGTATTATTGTCTATCTATATAATATTATTTTTAAACAATCTCTCATTTGAAAAAAAGTTACAATATGTTTTATTCTTGAAGGCTGACGAATAGTCAGCCTTCAGGAATAGAGAGAATAAAAGTTAGGTTTAAATTAAGATGAAAGTAATTTGTACATTGTATGAGACATAATATGTATAATAACTACTTGGACCTCTCAGAAAGTTGTGCGATATTGAAAAAGTTTTATGATAAAATATTTTATTTTTAAATATTTTTGAATAACTTTCTTTATCTATATTAAAGTTTCAGACGTCTGAAACAATTTTTAAACAATTTTCCAGACCACCACAGATACCTTTTCAACGGCCTGCTTGAACCATGCTTCCCAGAACATCTGGCGTAAATTTTATTTCCTTTCAGCTGTTCTTTTTATTTTAGGCCATAAAAAGAAGCCACACATTGCCAACTCATAGCTGTAAGGAGGGTGACCTAATAGTGTAAACTGTCCAGGAAGTCTGTCGTTTAGAGCGCTAGCCGGGCGAGCGCGATGTCATGGTGAAGCAGGACCCCGCGTAATCCCTGTTCGGTCGCTTGTTGCTCACAGGAGTCAACACTTCTGGCAAGGATTTGGTAGTATACCATTCGGTGTTGATATTATTCAATTTCGTAAAGGAATTTAAACCAGATACGGCGGCAAAGAGGAATAACTAGCGATCGAAATCCTCCCTGCGCTTCTCGATCGCTTCACTTTGGTAGGCGTTGGTTTATTTTGAAACAGCCAAGCTGTCGACTTGTGTTTCGTTTCTTGATCATTTTGATAAATATAAGATTCACGTCGTAAACACAACGAGACGAGCCTAATTCAAATTTAGTATTCACAGAACCATACCACCGATACTGTTTTTGAACTTCGGTGTCTTCATACGTAATCCGCCTTTTTTCTTGGATTTGAATTTTCCCCAGCTAGCAGGTTTCTTTCCATAACAGCCGTTAAAGGGCGACCAGTTCTTCCTTCATCATAAAGTTAGTCGTTCATGCTGAAATTTGTTATATTAGCGGTGCACGGTTGTCTTAGAAGGTCCTTTCTCTATAAATACGATTTGGAATCTATCAAATGATTTGTCCATTTATAGGCGACATTTGAAACCGTCCTTTCTGAGACAGATGTATATGAAACACGATATTTCAATTTAGTTCGTAAAAATATGACGAAGAAAATAAAAATTAAAGAATTCGTATTTTTACTTATAAATAATCGTATTATGAAAATAAATAATAATTGGCCACTGTCTCATGCAAGAAAACTTTTTTCACAATAATGGAGAGACAATTTTCGCTTTAACGTAGCTTTTTCCATGTAGTATGGATTTATGTAATGTAGCGATTTCGTTATGTACCGACTACCTCGTTGGTCTAGTGGTTGTAAACGCGACTGCTGATCATGAGGCCCCGGGTTCGAATCTCGGGTCGGGTCAAAAATCTGTTATTGAGTTTTTCCGTCACGAAATTCTCTTTCGTAGCTGCCCGGAGTCAGGAAGTTAGCGGTGTCTCACCCCCGTGCCTCGGAAAGCACGTAAAGCCGTTCGTGTCGGTTTACCGTCCCATCGGACTATGAGAGTGCACCCGTGTGCATACACTTGGGCACTATAATCCTCTTCTACGCGGTTGTCTAGTCTCCTTTGAGGCTGACGGACGTGAACGAAATTCGGTTAGGAGGACATTATTATATTATTATTATTCTGTAGCGAAAATGTTGTCTCATAGAATATTCGAGCTACATCTCACGCTTATAAATTTAAAATACAAAAATGTTTTCATTCTCCTTACGGACGTATAGAACTTGAGATTTAACAATGACTTCTTGGAAATATTTTACAAATCGGTTTAAGGTTTCAAGCTACTTCAAACAAACGTTGCTAGTGCATACATTGCAACATAAAAATATAAGCCAACGGTTGGTCTTCTAGTCTCTTTAAATAAAAATCAATTGCTGTCCGTTAGTCTCGCTAAAACTCGAAAATGGCTCGACTGATTTTGATGACATTTTTTGTGTGTGTTTGGGCGGTTTAGACTCACAATTGGACCCGGGAGGTGTTGCTGTTGTCGAGATCTAGTCACCCGTGCGAAGCCGGGGCGGATAGCTAGCTAATCAACAATAAATACAATGTGATATCGTGACTGAAAGTGAACAGATAAGAAACGTGACTGATAATATCACATGACCTGTCTGCAATGCAAAGAAAAAGAAAAATAGGCTTACGGCCAAATACTCACACGCTACTCAATTTTATGATATTACTAGCTCGCCAGGCAGACGTTGTTCTGCCTCTTCCGACGACCCTTCCTAAAAAAAATTCCTGAAATTCGCAATAAAAAAATATTGAAGGTCACTTATCGGGATAAAAAGTATCCTATCTCTCAAGTTGGACCAAACTGCACACAGTGTGCAAAATTTCATTGATATCAGTTCAATAGTTTAGGAGTTCATCGCGGACAAACAATGTGACACGTAATTTTTATATATAAAGATTAAGTCAAAGTGACTGTGACACCACAATGTCACAGTCACTTTGACTTGAAGTGATAGAGACAGCACGAGGCTTAGAATTGAGCAGTTCCACTGTAGGGCGCAAGCTTACTATTTCTGAAAACGGCTTAGGATTTGAAGAGTCCACAGAGCTAGCCTAATGTGTGTAAGATGTTTAGATATTTGCATAATGATTATTGAATAATAGTTACGTTGAATAAAATTACTTTTACGGATTTTATCGCGTTTAACTGTACTTATTTTTAATTCTCGACGTTTCCGGTGCTTTGTAGCACCTATGGTCACGGAGGACTGAAGTGATTGACGTCCCAATGTCAGAGTTGACTCGGAGTACCTTCAGCTTTTTAATTATTAATTTGGGTCTGATCTACGCAGAATGAACTTACTGTATCCTGAAGTCTTGCAGTGGTATGCTTGGGCTTAGTTTTAATTTTATTAATTACAGGATCCCAACCAGGTGATAGTACCCAGCTTCCTTCTCTATTGAAATGGTTTTTAATTTCAATAGCCTCACGTATTATCCTTGTTAGGAATCAATGTTCTTTCGCAAGGATTTGTGGTCTATCAAATCTGATGTAATGGCGGGTGCCGTCCAGGACTTACTGCTGTGACTGCGTACTGACGTGAAACACCAACGCTCCGGGAAGTCTGCAGTAGGTTTAGATTAATTTAGGTCTGACAGTTTTTAGAGGACTATGCTATCTGTCTGAAAGGCGGTAATAGACTTTTTTCAGAGCGCCCACATAGTTACACCTTATTACTATTATATACTTGTATTTAAATAACATTAAGGTACGCAGTAGTGGACGAGAATAAGAATTACTGCGGTTAATAAAATAAAAAAACATATAAAGATCATCCCGGATTTTAAACATTGTTATCATTTTAGTTATATTATTGTGTGGTAGGGCTGGCTTTTTGTCTAGCAGTACAGAATAAATAATATTAGTAACGTAACCTACTAGCAGTTTGACAGTTAAGTATTATAACAAGAATATAATATGAGAACGTAAGAACATTTCTACAATACCTACGTGTGCTGATTTTCCGAAACCTATTTTTATTTGTATTCTATTCTCAATAAATCAACTTTTAACTCTTGCTCAATGAATCAAATCAACCATTGTGTGATTCAAAAGTTGTTTTGTATATTCAATCGAATTTTAGTGAAAACCATAACCTAGTACGGTTTTCTATAGACACTAGTTTAAAGGAGCTTGTTCTGACTTGTTCTGACTTGTTATTAGTTAATCTCTTGTCATCAATAGGCCATAAAGTGTAAAGTGAAAACTAGGTATGATACCTACACACGACGCTTTCCTTTACCACTGACCACGTGATAAATTGGCGATCTGGTAGAGATGCAAGAAGTCAATAGTTATATGTGGCTTAGGATCATGCCTTTGTGGCATTCCTTGGAAGAGACCTGTATTCAGCAGAAGGAGCTGTGACTCTCAAACGGCACTTTGCTTTGTCAAGCTCTTCCACAGTCACATTTTCATTGCTTCTCATCATTACCGGAATAACAGGAAGAGAATTTAGGGGCATGAGAGTGTTCCGATTGTGTCTTATCAGCAGCACGTTACGTGGTAGAGCCATCCTGCAGCTATATTAGTAGTATAGTTGTAGCATAAATAGGTCGGCTCGACCGGGGAACGACCTCGCTCTCACAGAATACCAGCGTAAAATAGCAGCTTAACGCTGCTGTGTTTCGTGTGTGAATATAGAGAACCGGAGACCCTTTTTACTGGAAACGAGGCA